GAGAATGTTTATATTTAAAGGTATTGAGTATATGTGCAAAATATCAGCTCCTTGTAGTTGCAGAGTAACAATTGTGCTGTCATTCTATACTGCATAACACGCTTTATTGACGAACTGAAATCATTCAAAAGTGCAATTTAGTGAGAGACACTGCAGGCGAACATGCTTGCTGTACCACAAAGAGGTTGTAGGAAGAAATCGGGGGAAGTGTTCGGAAGATTAGATTATTACTTGTTTACCTACCTATGTATTTTCATACATTTCTCTGACTTTTATTTTGATTTGTTCCTAACTCCTCGTGTTTCAGTGAGTGTTGGTAACGCGTTCTTCCATTTTTGACAAGACACACTTGAAAACAAGTCAGATCTCTAGAGATCATTCCTTGTTTTGAGAACATGGGGCTAGGTTTTAAAGTGGCTTGCAAAAACCAGTAAGAGTAAAACATTGATGCAGATGATTCTGTGATGGAGGCGAGAGCAGCCAAATGTGCCTTCACACTTCACAGCCCAGCTCTCCAGAACCCACAGACAGGCTGAATCACACTAACAAGGACAAACTTTGGATCTGTATGCTTATGTCAGCACGGCCCTCCGGCTACCGTTCACTGTTGCAGTCAGTCCTGCATCAAGTGAGAGAACCCTGTCTCCTCCACAGCTAAAGAAAGCTTAGCTCTGCTCAACAGGATAGACTCTTTGTTGTCCCATTTATTTTACTGAGTAGGAAATAAGATTATTTGACGTGGATACATGCATGGCAAATGCCAAAACCAGCAGAAAATCTTTATTTTGCTGTTATATGTGGCTACACATGAAGCTTAGCCAAAGGCTAATCGGGTAGAAAGCTTTACATGCTTTCACTCTTTTTATACCTTATCTCCCGCTTTCAACTCACAAAGCTGACTTTCACCTAAGAGTGTGTAGGATTCCGATTTCCTTTTCCTTTGACAGAGTTTTTGGTCCTGCACAAATATAAAAAATTTGTAGCATTCAAGAACGCATTTAAGTAGGGGTGTAATGGTACACAGAAGTCAAGGTTCATTCATACCCTGGATTAGGAGTCACGGTTTGGTGCGAGTTTGGTACAGTAGGGGGGAAAAAAACAAATACATTATGATATTTTTCTTTTGGGGCGATGCCGTCAAATGTGCGTTAGTATGTCGACAAACCAACTCTCTCTGTTGGTGTTGTAGCTGAACAGTCACCCAAAATTGCTCCAACAAACTGACACAGCAGTTCTGCCAGCTCCAGCGTTTCATTTGAGCTTGTGCTTCAGTGACCTTGTTGTGCTAATCTCGGCACATGTTGCTAACAGTTTGCGGCTAAAAGTTTCCAGGCAGATCTCACACTTTGGTTCCTCATTATGTGCATCAATCTGCATACTGTGTAGTCGGCTTGCAGCTGTGTGAACCGGGCCATGACCCCTGTACCGTGATGGTAGTTGTTGCTGCTGTTGTTGCGTGAAACTGGGTCTGCTGTCAGCAATCACAAATGGGGACATGTTTATTGACGGTGCATTGTGCCTGTAGTGGAGTTAGGAGATCTTTCATGGAGTTATGATATTTCCAAACGTTGATCAAATGGAATAACCAAAACGTGATCTGAGTGACTCGGCATATGGTAGGGTGAGGGAAGAATGCTGTAGCGCATGTGACAGAACAAGTTAGCATTCTGGCGTCGATCCCGACCGATTTATCCAGAGACTGCGAAATTCTCGCTCAACATATGTTTGCCAAAGTTGAATGTTCGTGCACGTGCCGTAATAGCAAAAGAAGAAGTAAAAGAATTCAGAGTATCGGTGCCTCTCATCAAAAGACGAACATAATCATGCCTAATGCACAGTTGTTACAAGAGCCAGACTGTCTGTTGGTAGTCGTCATTGTTGTGGCTGTAGTTTGTTGAGCAGGAGTTACTCAGAAACTCAGTTGGACGGGGAGTCTGGTGATAACGATGAGTGGTCGTCTGGGTTAGTTGGTAGTCAGATCGACGACTGGAACTGATTGACGCGCAGTACTCAGAAAGAAGTGTTTGTACTGTCGTGACTTAGAAACAAAAAAAGCTTAACGGTTGTGTACCTGTGCGCAAGCCCATCAGAGATGCAGATGTCAATGTCAATGTGTTTGCTAGATACGCGCGCGGAATGGATAGACAGACACGGTAGTTCGCAGACTACTGGTGTGAGAATAGTGAGCAGTCTGAGACACGCCACCGCTTTCGTGAAGCATTTAGCATAGACCCGAACTGGTATACTAGTGAGCAGCAACTGGCGCACTGTAGCAGAGAAAAACGGTGCCTGGTTAAGCAGGCAAAACCTCGGACAAGAGCCCTTGGCCTCTAGGTGTGGTGGTCACTGCCTGACCAGT